TCAAAAAGTGCTTTACAGCATACGTTCGGAAAAGCTTCGGGTAATCTCTCCGAGTACCCTTGGCCGAGGAAGGTTAGCAAGCGGAGCTTGCCACCGCTACCCCAAAAACCAAGTCGCCTGCAGCCTGTCCGGTCAATGATCCTCCAAAGCACATCATCCCAAACCCCTCTAGCTCCATTTGCCCCCGCATCTCACTGCCTTACCAACCTCTCGTGTTCCTGCCCATCTCCCTAATGTACAAGTTCGACAACTCTCGAAAGAGCTAGTGCACACCACAACTGCACTTTGTAATTGCTTCCGAATTTCAAACTCCGTTGTTGCAGCTAATTGCCATGCTATTTCCAGTGTCGACTTCGACCTGTAATTACCCGTTTCCCACAACAGGGCACCAACTCCGCGCAACCTACCAATCAATTGTGGGTACCGCGAAATGCATTGTATCAGTAGGGTCTCAGTATCCAATTCCCCAGAGAGACTTATGCTCCCAGAGTCCTTGGTAGCATGCTGAATTCACACGTCACTCCCTTTTCACATGTCAATCTTTGTAATCTTGTTGGTTCGGTATCTTCCAATATGTATCTTTGCTTTGTTCTGGTACTTGTCACAGTTGGGTCGCTGTTAGTTCTCCTTCTGGCTGTCGCTGTAATTTTGCTCCACGGCCACCAGCTCCTGCAGTGCTTCTTGGGTTTTCACATGTGCGATCTCTTCGCCTGCTTTCCTGTCAACTCTCGCCATTTTTTCTGCTACCTCCACTTCATCTTTGGCATCCTGATCGGCTGTCCACTCACGTTCCCATTTGCTCCTATGGGGCTTCCCTTTTTGCAGCCACCAAGTCTCGTGGCAAGGTCCGGTTCCCACATCCTGTGGTGTGCGGCGCTGATCCATGGCTTCCACTTCCTTACTCTTAACTGAGCTGTCCGCCACATGACGTCCTGACAAAGGTTCCTCCAACTACCCTTCCCCTATTCGACTCAGAAAATTATTTCTCTGTGACAGGTCCGGTTTCTCTCTTTCCTCCACTGACAGGGGCTTAACCAGGAAGTGTAAGCCTCGTTCCACGCTGGGCAAGTAGCATCCCCCCCCCGTCACACTATATCAATTCACTGTCGCGGAGGGGGCTCGAGATACTAAAATGGCTGCAACGTGCGGCCTCAAGCCACCCCCAGTCCGAGGCACGTCCACCCTCCACAGAAGGGGAGACTAGTCTCCCCTTCCGGAAAGGGCCGGCCCGGACTGCAGCCCCCCAGAGGGGAGGCGCGGCGGATGACTTGAGCCAAAATGGCTACGGTCTTTCTTTTCTTTCATTTTTTTTTTCTCTCGCTCTTGATTTTTGATGTATTTCTCTCGTCGTTTTGCTCTTTCTGTCTTTTTCTCTTTCTTTCTGTTCCTGCTCGGAAGCCTACAACTACTGAGTTTTACTACAAAATCCAGTGTTTTGTTTGATCTTTACTCTTTTGTTTGATCACTGCTTGTTTTTTTCAACCTCCCTCCCTTCTCCGATCAGCTCCAACAACGCGGAAAGTAGATCCGGAAAGGGGCCTAGTTCTGTGTGCGGCCTTTGCACTTGCGTCACATAGTCCGGAGCAAATCTGACACGCCACTCACCACTTCTCAAAGTCAACGCAAGTCTGTCGCGCAACCATCTTCCTACATGTTCTGGGCCGCAGATCACCGCAAACTGGTACGGCGCATGCGCAAGAGCCAGCAGGCCACGTGAAGGCCAGACATTCTGAGCTCCGTAGCCGCTTGTGTCTGAGCCTCCCCGTTGTCTTGAACATCGTGCAAGGCGACGACCGTCAAAGGATTCTTCGCCGGAGAGGCCTCAGAAAACTCGCCCACCACCTCATAGTTGCATGCACTCACGATGAAGCCACGACGCAGGATTCCCACGCCAAAGGCTTCCTCAGCACCAAGAAGCTCTTTTGAATAAGAGGAGCGGCATACACGAGGAATGCAATGGGACCAGGCATCAAGCACCGTGAACTTGCCTGGTCGTCCATTCATGAGATTCTTGTCCGCAATTAGGACAAAATAGCATGACCGCGAATACCCCTTCTCAAAGGGACTGCCAGTCCAAAGGCTGTTGACTTGAACAAAACCTGAACACTGCCAAGGGAGAAGTCCGTCACCCAATCCACCGGTTGGAAGACAAGCCCGAAGCAGATATCTTGCTTGAAGGATCGGACGGCAGCATTGGCTCACCGTTCGCACAAGAGGGGCTGCTCCCTGCAACAACGAGATCGCAAAGCTCACATAAAGGCATAATTTCGCAACCAACCATTGCATCGATCTCAACACGACTCGAAGCTGCCGTTTCTCGTAACCATTGAGCCTTGCATCAGGACCCCACTTCCGGTAAGGAGGAACGGCATTTCTTTCAGGTTCTCGCGGCACTCGGTCATCAACATCGTCAGAGCGCCGGCAATACCTGCTTCCCACATCGTACGAAATCCTCAAACTCCTCATATGCGAAGCCTAATTCCAGCCACACCTTGCCGGTCATCCAGCGAAACCGCACTTGATGAACTCGCCACCCTCTCAGGGCAAGGCTGGCTTAAAGGAAGGCGACGCGCACTTATCGTCTTTCTTTCTGGAGGGGCAGAAGGTAATGAGCAGACAATGAAGAGCTTGGCGGGGACGAACTGAGCCCGACATATAATATATACATCTCTCTCTGTCTCTCTCTCCACAGCCTCGTGGCTATAATGTCAAGATTCGGAAGCTCAGGATCGACATTGTCTTTCATCCGAGCCATTTCGGCAAAGTTCTTCCTTTCTAAGGAGGGGGGAGAGTGACGTGCCCAAGGACTCTGGCCCCTAAGCCTAATTTTCCTGCGACAAACCGAGATGTGTACCAAGCTCATCAGCGTGACCATAGGCAGAAGAATCCAATGGAAACATGTCAGCTTTTGTCTTTGCTTCACTTGAGCTAAAACGAACTGCGCGGCTTCCAACCTCACAAGCATTGAAAAGTCTCAGCTTGCAGTGTTCAGCAGGACCCGCCAATCAGCTTTTGGTTTATGCAGCTTTTATTTGCCTTTCCCAGGCATGTACCCTTCCTGCATGTTTTAACCAGCCCTCTCTTGCCTTTTCTTCAAATAACTATTCACTCTGTGTGCTAGCAAGGCACCTTTGGCAATAAATGTAGCGTGCGCTGGCCGCAGAGCATGGAATTCTGGTTTTGGGCATGAGATGGCAGATACTTCAATCTCCAGGCCTCATCTGACGTTAGATGCAATGCGGTCCGCTCCTTCTGCAACTTGTGTGCGTCCTCGGTGCCATGATGTGCAGGGAACCATGGACTTGTGCCCCGAACAATTCGTGAGACTGCACGGCATAGGTCTACAGCCAAGGCCTTGGCCAGTGCAGACTGTGAACGCCTTCCAGGAAGCAGCAAATGTGTTGCCATGCAGTTCTCGCTCACGCAGCCCGGGCTACTTTATGTTAGCCGCTATAAAGCGCAAACATCCGGACTATCAAAATCGCGGCAGGCATCTCACCTTCCACTCAGCTGGCTAGCCACATCCTTGCTGGCGAGCAAATGTGTTTTCTGACACCATGAGCCAGAGGCTGTCCTGCGGCTGGTGCAATCCCAGTCGATGTTGGAGGACCTGAAGTGGAGACAGAGGTGAAGGGAGCAAATCTAGAATCTTGACTTGCAACACTTGCAGCTAACCTTTCTGCACAAAGTGCTAGCTGCCCGGGCCTGCCAAAGGTTGGGACCTGCTTCAATTGTATCTAGCAGGGTTATGAGTTCCTCGTTGCTCTGGGGTCTACAATACATTGTAAAGAAGCAAAAGTTGCTACTCCTGTTTGTGGCGCATGTACCAAGTATACATTGGCTATACATGTTATGCATGTTACAAAGTGCCCAAAGCAAGCAGCCATCACTGGGAATGCTCAAGCACTCTACATTGCGTCGATTCCCCACCTCACTACTGCTGCTAACTTTTGTTCGCCTTCTCTCACGCAGCCCTCTGGGGGTGCTTTTTGTGTAACATTCCTTGGGCATTGTAGCGCACATGGCCGCAGGGCTGCTCAAGAGTAAAGTTTTGCAGTCTCGCCTCGGCATGCCCCCTGCGACCAAGAACGCTTTGGCACCTTCGAACAGGAACTCAGGGAAAACTACTGATTGTTGCGCATAGTGCACCAAGCGATTGATGCTGCTCAGTACCGCATTGCATGAGCAGGCAAGAGCATACAGGATGTGCGACGGCAGTTGGACCTTAATGTAGCAACAGCTCAGCATGCTAACCTAAGCCCATGCAGTCCCGGACCCGACTTAGAACAAGCATGAAACTGCTGCAAAAGAGCATCTTGAGTGAAAGTGTGACATGATATGCACCCACCATGTTTGTCAGCTTGCTTTTCTATGAGTGGATTTGATTTTAAAAAATCCCAGGGGTTGCAGCCTGCCGTCGGCGTTCCGGTATTTGATGTGGATCATCTGCGTTTGCCGCGGGAGCCTGCCATCTGACACTGCAGCGCAACGCTCCAAACCCAGTACTGGTAGGAAAACGGAACATTCGGAACCCCCCCCCTGCATAGCTGCACTTGTTTAAAAAAATGTGCCTGCCTCGAAACTGTCGCGACTCTCCTTGGACCGCTGGCGGAGCGTGGAAGCGGGTACCTTTCACAGCACATTCATGCTTTAGCACAACTCATAACTGATATCTGTATCCGGCCCCACTTCAGAAGTGCCCTTACCACACCACATGAACATAAGCTGCTGATCTGCTGAGGTGAGAAGCTGGTGGTGACCCTGAGTTTTGGTCCGCTGCCATCATCTCACAAGCTCACGTGTTGAGACATCAAAGCCTCTAAGAGCGGCTCGCATTCTACAGGCCCAGGGCTCCAGGCAAGCCCGGTAAGGCTGGCCACGCATGTGGTTCAGTTGGTCAGCAAAGCTGTGTAGATGCGTCGGGCAACGTCTCATTTGCCATGTATCAAATCAGTCAGCAGACCAAGCGCGGAAGAGTAAAGTTGTAGGAGCTGCTGCCACTACGTGAAACCCCTCAGCTCGCTCTCGAAAGGTATCTGCGTCTCACAGATGTCTCTGGGGACGACAGCACCAAGACCTCAGAGACAAAGCATAGACATAGACCGACTCAAGCCGCTTTGCAATAAACTAAATGCCAAGCCAACCCAGCGCCGTGAGAATCACGTTGGACATGCAAAACTAAGTGTCGCGCACATCAGGTAGCGGGCCACATTCTGACGACCAAACTTCATGGCCATCTGAAAGGCAGTGTACTGATAGTTGCCTCAGGCGAACCAGTAACTAGAGTTTTTTCGGGCACGAGGTGCGCATTGTGAATTTTGCGCCCAAGTCCGAAGCAGAGTATGGTTCAGGCAGACTTGCAAGACATCTGTCAGCAAGTGCCAACTGTAGCTGAAGGTTCCCAACTCTTCTGGATTAACGCCTGGTATTCCAACAGTGGACTGCATCCTTCCTTCTATAACCAATGGGTCCTTTCCTGACAATCTTGAAAGCATCCCAAGGCGCAGAAGCTATCACCACAACCCGGTTCTCACACCAAAACCCTGGCATCATATGAGCATGCACAGTCCCTGGCCCGATTCAATTCAAGCAAGTTGCCTTCGCAGTAGTAGCCTCAGCAGGATGTGCTGCCTTTCTGCTTCTCAGCCTTGCCTCCTCCCTGCCTTCTCCAGGTTAATGGCTCTAATGGGTCTAATGGCTCAACTGGTGGCTGAAGCATTACCGTCTGACTTGGGGCTCAGGATTACTCACGCCCTGGGCCCATCAGCCAAACCTGAAAAGTCCTACAGATTAACAGCAAAAATTCTCATGAATCACGCTGCCATGAGAGAAGATCCATATGGGACCTCCATCACTGTTCTAGGCTAGGGCCTGAAGAACATGCCATGGCAAGTAATGAAAAGCTGGACCTGATCACAACAGCTTTCAAGAGATATGTGCAAACTGTAGCGCTCTACGTCTGACTCCGGATCCCAAGACAGTTGCGTAAACAAGGTTTTTTCAACATGGCTTGCTCACCTTCATAAAAAAATCACAAGAGCATTGGAGTAAAATGACTTGCCGAGCAGCCTGTGCGCTCCTCTATGTCCTGGCCATTCTCCAGGAACTCGTTGATGCGATCGATGTCACCACCTCAGGCCAATCCAATCGCAACTTGGCGACTCTGGCAGCGCTTTTGGGCACACACCAATAACAGCACCTCTCCACGAGTACTCGAGGCCCCTATCCTGGACGCGACATCTGCACATGCGCCAGAGGCAAGCGACAGAGGAAGCCAGCCTTCAGGTAGTTCACAATATCTGCAACATCAGCATTTTTGCCTCAGGCCAGGCAGTTGAGGCAGCTATGAGACGAAGGACGGCCGCAGCCACTGAAGCTACTGCAAAGATGCCTCGCTCTTCCCAACTAAGATAGCCGTTGAGGGCTGCAATGTCCGCCGCATTGAAACCTTCACGCGAGGTTTGGCCTAGAACTGTATAACACAGACTCGGAACTTCAAACTAATCATTGCTTGACATGCTCTAGAGTCTAACAAGACGACAGCATTAGTGGCCACATCTCAAGGCAATGGTCGATGTTAGCAAAGACAGAGATCGACTTGCCAAAAGCCTCCAGAATCCACTGCTTCCATGTCAACGTCTGTATTTTCCACCAGGTATCTCACGATGTTTGCCCAGCCACCTATGTTACAGGTCACTTGGAACTTTGCAGAGCTAGAATAAGGAGATGCATTCAACCAGCTGCAAGCGCTGTTGGATGCCACCTTCTGAGGCCAGCATCAGCGGGGTGAAGCCCTTCTCATCTAACCGACAGTTCACGTTGGCGCCTTTCTTGATGCAGTCCTCAATGGCCATGGTGCAAACACTTCATGTGAGAAAGATCGATGCATTATGCTCGACTTGCATCGTCATCCTAGCCAAAATTCCACAGCGCCTTCTGCCAGGTTAGGATACTATGGCATGCAAATGCAGCTTCCCAGCATCAGCTGCGGTCCTTCACCCATGCCAAGTCACCCATGACCTTAAGAAGAAAAAGCTTACAAAGGCAACCTACTGCAACATTGCGCAATGTTAAGGGACACCGTGACACAATCCACCTGCACAAGCCTGCACCCCATCGCTTGGGCTGGCACGATCGCATTTTCCAGCTGCTGATCGACGTCGGGCAACGCATCTACATAGCGGCTTCCATGCAGCCTCCGGTTAAGAAGCTCGCAGTTGATAGCAGTTGCAGGAGGAATAGCGATACATGGCAGCAGCAGCAGCAGCAGCAGCAGCAGCGACAGCAGTGGTGGTGATGATTGCAGCCGCTTGGACTGTCATTCTGGCTGGAGCATCTTGAGATTTCTTGTGAGCCCTTCTGCCTCGGCCGCGAGGCGAGGAAGTCACCTCTGGGTGGCAATTCCCTTCTTCAAAGCTTACCCAGCTGACGGCTTCACAATGTGCATATTCTGTATACATATCTATATATATCTATACGGTTATTGTTATAAATTCTATATTCGTCCTTTGTACAAACTATACTTGCTTACAATACAAAACTTGCATGCATGTTGACATGCAAAGGTTGCTGGTGGTAGAGGCAAGGAAAGCCTCGTTTCCTTGGAGGCTCAAAATGAGGCCCTTCCATGTCCTGCACAGGTCAAATGTCTCCTATGAGATTGTTGGTCACCAAAAGGGCTGCAGGTCTGTCAAGCAACTGAATGTTGCCAGGGCAGTCAGTAACTTAGATACCCGCTCCTGTCTCTGCCGCTGGGTGGATACCAGGGCAGGCTTGAGCCAAGCTGCAGAAGCACTACGTCCAATGCATCTGAGGCACTGGTAGTCTTGCCTTGCTGCTAATATTGATTACTTTTGCTACTAATCTGACGCTTATCAGGCGGCCATTCACTGGAATGGGAGCTCGGACAGGACCCAATCTGCCTCCTCGAGAACTGCGGGGCGTGTCGCTTGGCTGTCCAGTGCGGACCGTCGCTGTCGGTAGATCCGAAGCAGCTCCTTCAGCAGACTGAAAAGGTGACGGTGTACATGGAATGTGGGAACATATGCATGGGTTCCATGCTATGAGATCGGGAACATAAAGGGAATGAAAGGGTTGGTAGACGACATGAAGGGGCTTTTCTGCAAGAATGCTTTGAGGACCATGAGCAAAGGGTTGACGGAACTCGTAACTGCTTCCAACAGTTCAACAAGAAACCCTTCACTTGTTCTTGTGTTGCATGTCACTCCGCCTTTGGAAGCTGCACAAGGGGCACCTTGTTTTGGAGGACATCCCCATGTGTTGGACCAGCATCAGCCCCGAATGAAACGTATGTATCAACCTCATTCTGATCCTGAGCATGACGGAGGCTATGATATAAAGAGTGGATAAACCTTCATCCCTACGTACCCCACATAAAACCAAACCGCCCTTCTATCGTCAACAGATGAAGATAATGAAAGTGGCGGAAACCTTCATCCCTCCGTACCTCTATATAACCAGTGTAATATCCCATGGTGACGCCATGCGTGCGAGCCTCCTCAGAAGGTGTTCGGGCCATGACAGGCGAAGTGACAGAAGGCGAAGCCTGGAAAAGCTTTGAAAGTTTGGGTTTCAGGACAAAGGGCGTGAGCTTGGGATACTTTTCTGAACTGTGGGGCCGATGTAGCAGGTTCGAGAGTATTCAGTCTTTTCGGCATTGGGCTCAGCATCCAGGGCTTGGAGTTTAATTCGGGCACACGAATCTGTCTGGAGTCTGAGTAATCAACACTTTCATGATTGAGGTCCCACATTTGCCTCCGAATACTTGAAGCCACCAATATGCACTCACAATCCATATGCCCTGCAGGCTTGGTCCAGGGCCTCTCGTACACTGGCGGCAGACTTCTCAACCTCCTATGCGAGGACCACTGGCTTCTACATTTGCTGTACTTCTCGTGTGCTTAAGGTCTGCTTCTTCCCTTCCTGAACGTGGCTTTGCTGCCCATCTGTGAGAGCTACGAGAAGCATCGCCTCGACATCCCAACCATCCCAACTCATAGCTCCACAGAAACAAACTGCTAGACTCTCCTAGGCTCTTTAGACTCCGGAAGAGGGCTGCCTTGTGTGAAGGCTTGGCTTATGGGACTGTCGACCGCGCTCGGAGTTGACTCAAAAGGCAAAGCTTCTGCTGCCTCGTTTGTAGGGGGCTGCAAGGAACGCACCATGACCTGTGCAGCTGCACTGTAGGGCAAAATTAACCTTCAAACCATACCCAAAGCATGCAGCGTGCCTGCAGCTCATCGACCTGTTGCCAGGTACTGGAATGCTAGGAGCAGCGTGCCATGCAGAGGTTCCCCACTAAGGTATGTGAAGTTGTGTGAGTGCAACATGAGCTGTCACAGAATTGTCGCGTTAGGGACGTAAGGCCCTGAACCTTCTCTGCTACCTGCGCCAGATCAATTCAAGGCCCTCCTTACAGAGTGTCAAAGACAAATCTACATGGCGACTCCGTACGCCTGCCGTTGCAGACTGCGCACAACGCTGTGCAAGTCTCGTTGCACATCCTGCAGGCCAAAGACGCGCTCAAGCCTGCACACCTTGTTTCTCATAAGACAGGTCCCCCCAAAAATAACACTCGCAGGCAAATCAGAGCGGTCTGGTCTTTAAGAGATCCACCGCATGCCAGTAGACAACGCGTAAACAAAGACTGCAAATGTCCGTCAAACAGCTGGGACAGTCATGTTGTGATAAACTTCAGGTGATATGCACGCTTGTCAGCTCATCCCAGTCTACCATGCCTGGCTACATCGACACGCGTTCGGTCAAGTTGGGCATTCTGTCCTGCAACTGAGCTGGCTGCTGGGGCTGATGGGCGACAACCTCCCAAGATGGGGATCACATTGTCAAGAGCTTTGCTCATCTACAACCGCGGATCCAACCCACGTGAAAAGGGGTGCCAATTGAGCATGATAAATTGCAACCTAAAATGCAGCACCCCTTACACTGGCATTCTAGCAATCTACATCAACAACGCTGCGCGTAACAAACTTGGCGTTTTATGGTTGGGAAATCGTTTGACTGAGTGCAAAGCAACCAAAATCCTATAGCCATCATGTGCAAGGACGCACCTGCGCAGCGGGTGCCGGCAACAGCTTGCTTTGTGTTAGCGGCTGAGCCCCAACCTTGCTCAGCAAACTCGCATTACCCATATTGAGATTGGTGTCTCGAGACTCGTGGTCATCGTCTTTCTGCTAAGCATCTGCATAACCACCTACAAAATCTTATTCAGAGCCAGCACTATTGTCTTCTAAAAATTCAGTCGTAACTTGGTTTGGCCATAAAATTGGAAAGACAATAATAACTACGAAGGTTGCATGTTCAGTTGTGTTAGGGACTCATCAGCTTGCCGCCCAGCAGCACGCAACGGTGCATGATGTGAGCGTTTGGAAATCAACAACCATCACGGCAGAATTGAACAGGCCAAGTTCCCCGTTGATTGTGGAAGCTGTATGTATGTCCATCACGGATAGCCTCTGCTAGCTAGTGTACAGGTGCGTCGTGGCAAACAGTGGAGCGGACATCTTTGCACGTGGCCATGAATGGATTTTGCACCTGGATCAAGCATGTTAGATGCATGCTCCCCAGCAAAATTGCAGCAATCCTGGTCACGATCCCAATCAGCATTCCACAGGAATGCTAACGTCATGCCCTATGCATGTATGGGACAACATCATTTGGCTGCGAGGTTCGGCACACTGCTGCGGCGAACTGCCACAGTCTGAAGCACGACAAGCAGCAACGCCGACAGCAGTTGTCGTTGGCAATGTACGCGGAAGCATTGTGACCTGCAAAATTGCGTCTGATTTTCAGCATGGGCTTCTGGGTACTACGGTACCACGTCTCCAATGTTCAAACAAAACATATCTGCTGAGCCAAGTGACAAACAAACCACGCTGATGCTGGACGTACTTGTCCTCTGCTGTAAGTTCATGTCCCACTCCGCAGGCCGCACGGAATGGAAGCATCTTGGGCAAAGTAGAAGGCTGCCTAGTAAACAGCAACGGATGCTGGTTGGCATACGCAGCTGGCCCGAATGTAGACATGCATGCACCTATGCTAGTAGAACTCAGCAACAATGTGCGCTCATAGGATCAACTATTTGGCTTGGGACCAACGTGCTGCAACCGGCAACATTTGCAAGGTTCCTTACAGAATGATTTGCACCGGCAGCATGCCAGGCTCTGAGTTGCAAATGCAGCTCCGAAAAAATTACGGTGATGCTGAAACAGCCAAAACTCTTGCAGGGGCCAGGTTGTGTTGTTGAGGATCCGGGGCATCTACATAAAATGGCGCAACCATTGGGGAGCCCAAGGAGCGGACTGTAGTGGAATCTTGGATGCCTCGTCTGCCCGGTGACTTGCCAATCAATAAATGCTGTCATAGTATCCTAGGACAGCCTTCGACTCTTTAACCGCCTCCAGACCGAGACCTGCTTTGTACTCGTGTGATGGAATTGTCATGCCGGCAAATGGACCTCTACTCTGCCTGTTGTGCCCGCAACGTGGGTCTGCACATTGGCGAACGCTGTTTCACGGGATCTGTCTGGATGGACCTACGCGGCCCACATTCTTGAGAAAGCATGCGCAAAACATCTTCAGGGGTATCGGGACCTTCGCTCCGCGGTCCTTTTGTATAATATGCTCCAAAAACATTACAACCCTCAACAACGAACCCCCGAATAGATACCATTGTTTCTTGGAAATGCACACGTACAAATTGCAACTGTGCAGTACAACTCGCGCAGCGAAGACAAAGTTCTGTTGTCTCCAAGTCTCCAAATCGATCTTAAGCTCAGGCTTGTTGCACTCAATGGCGCAAGGTTTTTACCTTCTTGTGGTGGTTTGAACCAAAAATCAAATATTTTTTTGCCCTCAGAAAATGCGGTCCGACAGCCAATTCGGAAGGCTGGGGCCATCAGCTTTAACACACCGTCACATCAATTTTCAAAACAATTAGGTTTAGTCAACTCAACCGGGACAGGAACCCGGCACTTCAAGGAAACAGGGGTAGGGTAGATCAAACCTGTCATGCATGGCAAAAGGCTCAGCGAGACCGGACCGGTTCAAAGCAACCCTTTGCGACCATTTCTATTTTTCGCATTTCTCCGCTACTTCCGAGTAGCCACCTACTATGGAACGTAAATGCACCGGTCTGCCAGATGGCAGGTGCACGTGCGCAAACCCCGAAGTACCAGGGAGACTCAAACCACCACTACGATGCACCATCTTTGTGCACTCCCGAATTCCCAAGTTCTGTCAAAATCAAAGTGTGCAGATACGAAAAACAACCGCAAAGAAATTGACTCTCTCAAAAAGAAAACAAACCAAAAATGCAATATGAAACTTCCGTCCATTCCATTCACAGCAGCGGACTACTTTTTGCAGGAAGGCCAGATGTGACGCGTGCATTGTAACACAGAAACACTAGGGGGTACAGGTTTGGTAGGTGGTATATAAATACCCTACCCCCATAAGTACGACATAACCTGTACCGCCAAGCACTTTGCTTGTCCAAATCAAAGTGTGCAGTTATGAAAACAACCGCAAAGAAATTGACTCCCTCAAAAGGTATGTATTCCTCTGTTGCTTGATGCAATGATGTATGAGACAGTC